TTCTCCAGGAGAATGCTGTGGGAGACAGTGTCAAAGGCCTTACTAAAGTCCAAGTAGACAACATCCACAGCCTTCCCCTCATCCACTAAGCAGGTCACCTTGTCATAGAAGGAGACCAGGTGAGTGAAGCAAGATCTCCCTTTCATAAACCTATGCTGGCTGAGCCTGATCCCCTGGTTGTCCCGCATGTGCCGCGTAATGGCACTCAAGATGATCTGCTCCATGACCTTCCCCGGCACCGAGGTCACGCTGACAGGCCTGTAGTTCCTCGGATCCTTCTTCCGACCCTTCTTGTAGAGGGACGTCACATTTGCTAACTTCCAGTCATCTGGGACCTCCCCGGTTGACCAGGACTGCTGATAAATGATGGAGAGTGGCTTGGCAAGCTCCTTTGCCAGCTCCCTCAGTATCCTCGTGTGGATCCCATCTAGCCCCATGGACTTGTGAGCATTCAGGTGGAGGAGCAGGTCAGTGACAGCCACCTCTTCGACAACTGGGGCTTCATTCTGCATCCTATCTCCATCTCCCAGCTCAGGGGCCTGAAAACCCCGAGGATGACCAGTCTGACTATTAAAGACCAAGGCAAACAAAGAAAGCATTAAGTACCTCAGCCTTCTCCTCATCCTTCATGGCAATGTTTTCCTCTGCATCCAACAAAGGATGGAGATTCTCCCTGGCCCTCCTTTTGTCACTGATATATTTGTAAAAACACTTTTTGTTATCTTTTATGGTGGTGGCCAGTTTAAGTTCTAGCTGGGCCTTCGCCTTTCTAATCTTCTCCCTGCGTAATTAATGTCACATAATAGATGTGTGAACAGGTATTGTGTATGAGCCCACCTCCCTGCAGCAATGAAAAATATACTATAAACTGGTGTCACGTTAAGAAAGCTTAACGTTTAACTTGCAAAGCAGTTTTCAACAAACAGCTTTAAAATAGAACATGGACATGAGAAAAACATGGTGCTCTTCTGAGTAGACTTGGTAATGGATTGAACTGCACAACATTTAGCATTAATGACAAAGACAGGTAACAGCAGTCATCTTGTCTCCTCCAACAAATGTATGGCAGAACTCTCCCTTTTCGACCTTTTAGTGTTATGCTCTTTATGAACCTCAACGCTTTTCCACATGGCATACACATAAACAACTAGGTAGTGGATATTGTTTGAAACTGCAGGAAACTTAAAAAATTTGGTTTTAAACCAAAGACTAGTGAAATTCTGATGCGTCCTGCCAATGACATTAATGAGTTCTGATCAGGTACTTTGTTTCTTACAACAAGTTAATTGCATTTTTATTAAATTCAATGCTTTTAAAATCACAAAGCTCTGAGAACTTGGAAAGTTTTTTAAAAAGTATATACATTATAAGCATACTGAAAGAACAGAATGTCTGTCAATTTAAATATTTACTAACTTGATAACTGATGATCTGACAACTCCTAGAAGTTGTCCCTTTTAGGAGAAAAGAATTATGTTTGACAACAGCATTTGCCTGTACTGGAAGAACAACTAACCATTCTCACTAGCTAATGGACACTTGTGTTAATTGTTATGCTGATTTAGCCAGTCATATTAGTACCGGCTTCACAAAACATTTGTTCAATTTAAACTGAAAATCCAGAATAAAGTCAAGGATAGTGTTGTTGGCATTTTGAGCATATATATATACTATAAAGTTATCATCAGCAAATACTCACAAAACGTGCTTTTACTCTCTTAGGAAGCTCTTCATCTAGTGTATAGATCTCTTCTCTCTTCATTACTATTTAAGAACCATCTTCAAACTCAACCTAATTGAAAAAATGGGTATTTAAAAATAAAATCATAATTTAACTCTCACAGGAAGTTTCTGGGAATGTCTCCAGACAAAAATATACATGCAAACACAGCAGATTTATATAGAAATATTTTGCTATCTATTTTAGGAAGGTAAAATTAGCATAAAACATAAAAAATGTTATTTCTTAGGAAATGCAACATGTTCATAAGTTGAAAATAAAATCTAAGCAAAGAGACTTCAAAATCAACACTGACACATATATAATAAAGAAAAATTTATTAGATTAGGAATGCTGAGCAGTAACAACACAGACAACATTATTTTGTAGGAGTGACATATTAAAATGTCTTCATGTCATTTTTATTTGCCTCTCATTTTTTTTACTTGCTTCTAACAAATAAAAAATTAATTTTTACATCCTGTGCTTCAAGGTTGAGGAAGACCATGTCAAAAGAAAGAAAGTATGAGTGACAACTAAGGAAATACCAGTTAACAGAATTTTATTGAATCTGATGGAATTTCTTTAAAATGCTCTGTTCAGAAGATGAAAAGCTTTATCATGCTTGGGTTTAGATTTAATCCAACATGAACCCCGTTAGCAGAAAATGAGAAAGGAAATGTAACTAGGTGTGGGGAATGTTAAAATGCTGAGGCTTTGAAGCATTTAAGCTTTTTCAGTAGCTGCAGATTTTTTTTTTTAATACTTCATCTAACAATTGTGAATTTCAGCTATTACCTATGACTGCCGTTTTAGTTCCCACAGAAATGATACTCTAAAGTTTGGTATAAAATTAAAAGAAGTCCCATTCCACAGCCTTAGGTGACTTAATAAGACCATGTGAATAACAACAACGATCTTAGGCTGGAAGAATAAGCCCAAATACAAACATAGGAAAACCTTAACTTATCAAAAGCATTATTATACATAAAACTGAAAAATCATGCACTTGAGCTTGTAAATAGACTGAGTTTTGTAGGTCCAAATTAAAACCTTGCCATGACTGAGTATGTCAGATTAATTATGAACAGCTGAAAAATCTGATATAGTATATCCATTCTCAAAAGCCAGGGTACAGATCTATGAACTATGAACTTCTTTAAAAGCAATTTTTTTAACAGCAATTAACAGGGATGCGCAAATCTGGAATGCATTTAAAATCTACAGAGCACAGATGGATAACAAAGTCACAAAAGTCATCCTTGCTCCTCTGTGTTCCTGTTACTAACCTCATAAACCTAGTCTGTTAGTACTATGTTAGAGGAACTTAAAGGTCAATTTGGCTTAAGTTTGTTTAATAAAATTATGTCAATTTAGGTATTTTTCACCAGGATGCAGGAGCCTTTCTGCTATTCCTGCTCCTTACTGCACAGTATATTTGTTAATATGTTTTTGCGTAATACAGTTGGTAATAATATTTTTTGCATCACTGGTGAAAGAACTGGTCAGAAAATGAACTCTGACAGCTCCATGCGATCAGAAAATCACCTCTTGAATGGGCAATTTTTTTTTGTTTTTACTAGTAGTGTGCAGCTGGAGGCAACTGCTTCATACCACAGAATCTGGCATGCTTGCAGTATGAAATATATTGAACATTTACAGTGAAGAGTAACTGGAAGTTCTTCAGCTATAATTCAGCATACCACACTGGAAATAAATTTGCCTAGTTAAAGGCAAACACAACAAGAGCTCCTCTAAGACTTTCAGTAGTATCATGATTCACGCAAAATATAAACCCACCATCTCTAATAGCTCCAATTTAATTCAGACTGCAGATACTACATTTCAAATTGTCAATTTTATCCAGCAAGTTATTTTATTTGGACTTCTGCTGCTGTACTGTGTCTGTGTTGTATGTTATTCTCTCCATGAGATTTTCTTTTATCAGGACATCATAAATTAAAGGGCCACCTGAAATTGTTAGAAAGCAATTAATAGAGTGAATGGATAATTTAATATTCTCAAATGAAACTGAAAAATAAATAGTGAACGTCAATATCAAAAATGATCAAGAAATCAAAAGTAGATTGCATTAACAATTTCACTTGAACACCTGCTTCATTTGGCATATACAGCTCTGCTTAGGTATGGTGTAGGATACTGGGTGGCAAATGTGAAACTGGGTGACACAAATTCTGGTGCATTGTGTCATAGCTCCTTCATGCACAAGTACTGTCACATTCGGTACAATTGTCTCATGAATATGAAGGAAATTCAGATTTATCCAAGTAAAACAGATTTGCCTTATTAGATCATAATACTCATTTCAGAGAATCCTTTTCAGTCTCTCCTTTCGTCGTACCATCTAAGAGATCACACAAAAGACTTGGTAAGAGAATCTCAAAGGTGCAGCAGACATCTCACAATGCAGAAGAAGAATGGAGTGTGCGTATGCATGGGTCCTGAGAGCTTTCAGACCGGCTATGTAGAAAGACTAGAGGAAGAACTACTAACGTGTCTTGAAGTTAGCCTTGCACCCTCCATGTCACAGACTTTCTGTAACCTGTGGCCATGTTGTGGCAGCCTCCTCTCCCATCCTACAGTACAGATTGAAATACTTGTTTGTCTCCAAAATGCTACGTAGTGCAATCTGATCTCCCTCTAATCTTTAATTTTTGCTATTTCCCCCATGATAGGGGTTGTTACAAGGCAGTTTACAGTAATCTCCCTCAATTGTTATGCTGAGGAACTCCAAACCTTACCAAACCTCTGTATGCTAATCCATTTTCCTTAAACAAAACTGGTTTCATCATGTTGTCCCAGAGGTCCAAAATAAGACAAAGAAGTTTGTTTTGACTATGTCAGATTCTTTCAAATATGAAAGATAACAACATTCATCTAATCCACCTCACAGTATTCCTCAGAAGACCAGCTGTTCAGAAGATTAAATTATTTGAAGATTAATGTTACTATAGAACAATAATCTTTATATTTTGTAAAGAACTTTTCACCTTCACAATATAATACAGCTGCTAAATATAAGGGAAGAGGTAAGATTTAGAGACTAGCTCAAGGGATGAGGCATTTGAGGACTTGAGTTCGATTGCAAGTCATTGGCAAAGTGAGAAGGTCAACGCAGCAAGTCATTTAGCCTCCCTGTGTCTTAATTTATCTACAGATATAATAGTAAATTTGCCATTTTTGTAAAGTAATGTGAGGCCCTCAGATGAATAGAGTTACATAAGTGAAAATGATTATATATATATAAATGAAATGTACCTATGTTCTCATTCTTTCAGAAGTGCTATTATTACTGATTACTGTAATTGTTTTATTGCAGTTTCTACCATTCACTTGGGTACTCAAAGCTGCTGACTGATTTTTCTCAAAGGCAAGCACATAAAAACACAATTATTGTGTCTCTGAAATCAGAAGTCAGCTTTTTAGCCTTGCCTGCAGTGTTCAGTTCCCTTTTGCCGTTGCTGAGGATAAAATGCTCCTTAGATTATGTGTTAATTAATTCAAAAGTGCCTCAGACAAATGAAAGTGGGGCTATTTACACTCTTCTTTTTACTGTCCTCCCTTACATCCTTTTATGAAATGCCTAAGGTTCATTTTAGTCACACACCAATACTTAATTTTATATCATTAATTTTATAATTACCTGACAACAAATAAAAGTAAATAACCTGGAGAAAATAACAAATGTTATCTTTCAATCTTAATGTTCCACCTGTTCACCTGAGTTCTTATTAAATAAGCCATTTTCTTGATTTTATAAGAGCAGGTGAAACCTCAGCTCCCTAAGAGTGCACAGCACTTGTTAATGGTTTAGACAGCTTTATTTATTAGTTTACATGCATTAGCAGTTACAATAAGAGTCCACACTCCAGCCTTCTTCAGCTTTGAAGGTGCATCTGGCCACTCCAATGCTAGAGCCAAATGAGCAATTTGCAATAAAGACATCTGAAAAACAAGCACATGGTAAGAAATACAGACACTCACCTGATACATATGAGCTGTGTTTGTTCCCAGATACTTTGCACCATACAGTTTTCCATCAGGCCATTTCACTTGGACAACCTCTCCCTCTGCAGGTGGGCCCAGCCTTAGGCAATCTCTGCTCTATTTACAAAGGACGGATTCTCAAATCAATGAGTGAGCCACTACACTGAAATTACCAGTAAGCTGCTTTTTACAACTTGGTAATTGGAGGAGATTTATTACTATGTGTGTTTCAAGTTTTATAATCCTGCTAATGGGCTAACAGAAGATACTTTTAGCCTTTATGAAAATGAAATACTGACCAAAGAAACACTCTCTTTACAGCTTGATGCTGCATTGGCAAGGCAACATATGCATAAATCAGATAGCTATCAGCAACTGTGATACATTTCCCACAAAATTAATTTCCGTCACGCACTGAAAATAAAGATCACTAAAGTGCAATTGCACTATGTGTAACACTTTCTCTTTTACATATTCAAGTAACTCATGTTTTGTTAACCACAACACATTTTTTCTATATGCTAACTTTGCTTACTGAAACATACCCTGATGGATCAAACTATAAATGGTGAGAATGCCAATGAGTTCTTTGCTTAGCTGATGGAGAAACACTGAAAAAATCCAAATGCTTACAAAGAATAATTAGGTGGGATTTTTTTTTTTTCCCCAGAAGATATGAAGCAGTTTTTTTCCTGTGTTTTGGCCAAATTTTCTGCCTGACTTTGTTGAGCTTGTCAGACCAGCACAGTTTACGCTAGTTGCAACAAATCCTTGTTATGGTTTCCATATGGCTCAGTATGACCTAAATTTGCAGTGCACACTGACCACACAACCGTAATAACAGCTGTCAAAATGAGGAAATACACGAAGGACCAGAAAATCATCATGTCAGGTCTGTGCTCATCAATTCTTTGGAAGCTCTTTGCCAAATACTCACCCCAACAAAGGCATCTATACTTCATACCGACTACATCACAAGTCTTGTCATGTAAATTAGCGGTAATTTAGTGGTATTCTCCTAGGTGTGAGGGGACCTACTCAGTGACCATGTTACCTGACCTCACTGCTAAGAGGTCTAGACTGGGAAGAGAAAAGATACAGTGAAGGACTCAGGTACAAGGACTCAGTGACAAGGTCCTGCAGGACCTGGTATTATCTCAGGTTGCTGCAATACTATTACTGTTTTCAAAGTCTCAGATTTACACAGAATAATTTACAAAAATATTGTATTTTTGTGTTCAGCAGTTCACTTCCAACAGGGGCCAACAATCGTCATGACAAAGAACTCAAAATGTGGCACGAAAAATGCACCACAGTGATCCTTACTGGGAGGTTATCTTTTTATAATATCATGCTAGCCAAATCCAGGCTTTATAAGCTATTTTTAATCACATGTATCTTAATCCATGAATTTGACTCAACACATAAGAAAAGATGTGAAAAGCTGGATTTTCACAGAAACACACTTTCCTGCATGACAATACTGTCTCTGTCATCTCTCAGGTGCTATGCCAAGGGGACAGCTCTAAAATATGCCCTGCATGTTTGCCTGGCAAAGGTTGCTGTGACAGACACAGAAAGATATAGCCTTTCAATTTCACCATATATTTGCGGTAGTAGGTGACACTACTGTATTACCCTTCCCAGTATTTCCAGGAGAGGCAGGGCAAAAGGGTGGCTGCTACCGACTTTCCAACAGTGGAATAATTATGACTTCTCGGGGGACAGGGATTGCTAAATACTATCATAGCTCTGACTATAAATTAAATCAGACTATATTTTTAGTACTCTATCCTCAGTGGTGACTGTCAAGATGGTTATTGTCATTATCACACTTCTTCCTCTAACTATTTATTGCTAAAGTGCAAAAAGGATTCTTCACTAAGTGTCTTGAATCAAACTTTAAAATGCACCATGGAAGATAGCACATTCCCTGAAAACAAACAATCTATCAACATTGTCAAGCCAAACATTAATTTTCCAAGAACAAAAGCCCAGCATGAATTGCTCCCTTTGCACCTTGCACAAGAAAAAAAACCTCCCAGCTTCTCTAGGATAGCTAATGGAATTGGTCATACGGAAAATTAGAGTTCTCATGCAAATAACTAGACAAATAACAATGCCATTCTTCATGTATCACCACAATGTCTTAGTCTACAGAACAATGTTTGGGAAACCTATACTAAATAGTTTTTGCTAATTTCTACCTGAATTCCTACCTTTTATTTTTATATTACATAACCATTTTAGAGATTCTTTTTTACTGCAAAAATAAGTCTCACCATTTTATTCTGTGGAATTATTAAACCTATTTCTTAGGCTGACAAAATTGCAAAAATGCAGCCTCACTTTTCTCAGTCATATAATGAAAAGTCAGAGATCAATATATGGTAATCCTTCAACATTCCCATACACCAGCTGTAAATAACATACAGTGTGGGCTCAACCTACATTCGGCTTGTAAACCATGTACATTTCCCATGCAATTACATAGTATATTTTCTTCTTCATACAAATGGACAAAATCATGTCTATTTGTACTGAAAAGCCTATTCATTTAAGTGTTCAGTTTCACATTCCAGAGCCCCAGGTCCAAGCATGGTCAGCTACAGAAGGTTGCTTAGGGACATGTTCTTCTCCAAGGATGAACACTTCACTGCCTCCCTGGGCAACTAGTCCAGCATTCAACAGTCCTCACAGTAAGAAAGTCTGTTCTTAAGTGAAGAAAATTTCCATGTTAAAGAATTTCCTGTATTTCAAATGGTACCCATTGTCTTCCATCCTGTCACTCTGCACCACTGAGAAGTGTGTGGCTGCACCTTCTGTACTTCCCCCATCAGGTATCCACACACTTGGATAAGAGTCCCCTGAGTCTACTGTTCTTTAGGCTGAACCGTCCCAGCTCTGTCAGCCTCCCCTCATATGACAGATGCTCCAGTCCCTTCATCGCCTTCATATCCTTTCACTGGATTTGCTCCTGTATGTCCACATCCTTCTTGTACAGGTGAGCCCATAATTAGACACAGCACTCCAGATACGGTCTCATCAATGCTAGGTTTACAGCCATTCAAAATTTTCTTTGTAAGAAAATACCTGTAAGTAACCATAATTCTTAAACTTTTCTTGTTTATTACAGGTGGCATTTTCTGGTTTTAGAAACATTCATTTTGGGGTTCATTATGTGCATTGAACTAAAAAAGCAAGCAAGCCATTCACAATAGATGTTGGAAAAATATGTTGACATACTGGGTTTGTCTCCTATGCTGTCACTAAGGAATTCTTGTGTACAGCACTACAGATAAAGTAGACATTTTTGCTATTTTTCTCTTCTGATATTCCTTTGTTCTTACCACAGAGGTTGAATAATACTTTGGTTCATTAAGCCTGGACACTTGCAAGTAGCAAATCCAGCTGCAGTGGCAGGGTGCTGATGGCTGACACAGACTAGGAACAAAGGTAGAGCCACACTAAGAAAAAAAAGGGAGGAAATCTGCACCTGAAGCATGCATTTGAATCCAGGAACTGTGAAACATTGCAAGATTCCCATAATTTGAATCCAGCCACTGACACTTGAAGAAAATATTTCAAATTTTTTAAAAGTTTTTTTTTTAAAAAAGAAGTTCAAACACTTTCCTAAATCAAGGCTAAAAAGTATAGATATTCTGGTCTAAGATGAACTTATGAACTATTGAGACTATTCTCCAAAACTGTCAGAAACAGATGTTCCTTGGATACCTACAATTTTATTTTGACAATGTTTTGCCTGCCAATTATGTTATTAATTCAGATTATTTCAAATTCAACAATTATTTTCAAAATGATAAGAATATAAGAGCCTTTGACTTCTTCTAGGTTTGATCCAAAAGAGCCACACTGAAAACAAATACCTTTAGTGAATTCAGAGGAAACAGAAAACTCTGTGGTGCAATCCTCGAAGTCAACAGGGCTAAATTGGCTCATATCTTCAGGCATTGGCAAAAAAAAAAGCCTACAAGTTAAATTGACAGTAGAAAGGATACGGAAGCCTTTCATGTCAAGACTGTGAGTCTCTGCTCTGACAGAAAGCTAGATAGAGGGGAAATCTTGGAAAGGAAAATATTGGAATGGCCAAAGTAGAATATGTGAGCATAAGGTTTTCAGTTTGAGGGATTTTTCCCCAGTGAAGAAGGCAGCAGTTGAACAAAAAAGACCTAGAGACTGCAATACATTATTTAATAACACTTTTAAAAAAATTCTTTTCAGGTTCAATACATGAAAAGCAAAAAGCTCTCAACAACATTTCTGAATATTCTGAACACACAAAACCCCCACCACTTTGTTCCTCCTGAATCTAGCAGCAGGGAAATTTTTCCATTAGCTTGTACAATGTTCTGCCTTTCAACAGTCAGCTTATACCTCAATGTTTGATCTTTCAGGAGCTTAAATGGAATCATATCCTTCCAAATCTGATTCAGTCTTTGGTGAATGTGGAACGTGATCGGTGAAGACAGGATCAATTAACTCCTTTAACTTAAAGTAATGGTCATAAAGGTTAATATTGTATTTAATATCATAGCAGTAACATTGTTCATTGTATCTCAAGAATTTGTTTGAAAAGAGCAAAAAATTCTGCATCTCCTTGACACTCCTGGGTTTTACTTGCTGATTTGCTTTGTTTCCAAAACAAAGCAAAAAATGCCTCATTGTTTATTCAAATTATTGTCAAATACCATTGATGGTATAATTGACATGAACAATAGAGGGCTAAAGTGGTTAAGTGTGGCTCTTGCAACAGGTTTTGTGTACTATTTTTGCTGTATGGCTCTGTAATGCAGCAACAGAATGAATGCACAGAAATTGTACGATAGTATAAATATACACAGAACCTGACGGGCATTATTCTTCCTGGGATGCTCTGAGTTTAAAGACAGTTTAAATGTTAGCTCAGGCTAGTATTTGTAACGATTAGTTTAGCTGAATGTATTTTTCAGCCTTTGAAGTTACTTATTATTTCTTTATCACACGACATCAAAACCCTCTAGGAAGACATACTGAAATCAATCAACAGCAGGCTTGCAGGAAGGCTGTGTATAAGAATCCATTTCATTGTGCTGCTGCGGCTTTCTGTATTGGAGGGT